AGTGTGGCAGCGGTAGTGAGGTTGGCCCAGGATCGGACATTGTTTTGTTCTGCTGTGCATGGGGTCACTATGAGTCGGTTCCGATTTGATGGCACCTGACAACAATAATATCCTTTCCCCATTGACTGTACTTACCAAAATCAGCTTATCAAAAATCAGCTGAGACTTCCGGCAAGATATCAGACTAGGCAAATATACTATACAAATCCTCTATGACAAAGATACGAGAGATAAAATGAAACAGATAAAGATGAAAATCCTGGAACTCTGACCTTCTGAAGAAAGGTTAGAGAAGTGGACTGGGTGCTTGGTGGGAGGAGAAGCTGAGCAGGGACCGTGAGAGGGATAACCAGTGTGACCATCTTGAACTTCTGTGAGCAGCTTTGGTGACAGAATTTGGCAGAGCAGATTTACATAGGCAATGGGAAAGGTGTGATTTCTCTCCCCCCTCCCCCATGCTTCCCTGGCAACCATAGGTGTTGCCATTCACCCCAATGCAGACTCTGCTCTCTAGGAATTTGGAGTTGCATAGTTGTGAGCCATGCCAGTGTGAGGCAGGGGCCAGCTTTGGTGCTTGGATTCAGGAAGGCTGGACTCCAGATATTCAGAAAACACATAGTCACTAGACTACCATTAGTCTATCAGAAATCCAGCCACCCTGCCCCCAGTTACCCTGTGGTCCTAACAGACACTGAAACCAACACCATCAAGGACCTCCATAAACTACTTCTGGTTTGAGTGCCCTAAACATAGATAACAACTAGGCCTATAGGAGTTCTATCTAGGGCCAGAAACTCTGCTGTCACACTCCTCCCACACCCACCTTGTGAGCTCCTTGCTGGCAGGGGCCCCCCAGAGTTTTCTCTTCCTGGAGTTTAACAGTTACACTGGCTTTTGTTTTGTGTTTTTCCATTTTGTTGTTTCATGGTTTTTGTTTGTTTCTTCTTTCTTCTCATTCTCTTTCCATTCCCTTGAATTTTATCCTTATCTATATTTTTGTTTTTCCTGCTTTTCTTCTATTTCTCATTTCCTCTCTTCTTTTCTTTTCCTTTTGATCTTTCTTTACTACTCTACATTTTCTCATTTCATTTTCTCTCTCCTGGATTTTCTCAGTTAAAAAAAAAAAATCTTCCTTTTATTTTCTCTCATCTTTTGCTACTATAACTCTATTTTCCTGTTCTTCCTTTCTCTTTCTAGTTATTATACTTTTCTGTTGTTGTTGATGTCTGGTTTTATTTCTTTTTCTCCTTTATTGTTTTCTCTTTTCGTTGGTTGCTTGTTTGTTTATTGTTTTCTTTTATTGTGTGTATGTGTGTGTGGGTATTCCTCTTTCTCACCTGACAGCAGATAGCAATTGTGCCCATACAGCCCAGCCACATCTGTACTCTCTATAGCACCTCTCATTGGTTAAGAACCAGTACCAGCTTCTACGCCACCTGGTCAATGACAGACAGCAGCCAACATCAGCCAAACCCACCCTAAACTGAGGTGCACAACTGGCAAACAGAAAATGATACTAATGCTTCAATTTTATAACTACACCCACAGGAGACAATTGGTTAGAGCCTAATAACACATCAACATAAAATCAGCAAGTAAACACAAATAGGACAGTACCACAATGCCCCAGAGAAAACAAACAATTTTAGCTTATATGAAGAAACAAGAGAGAATGGCTCAAACAAATGAACAAGATGCAAACCCATAAAATGTTTCTGAGGAAGAAAAGTTAATGGACCTATCTGAAAAAAAAAATTCAAAAGAATGATATTTAGTTACCTCCAACAGATTGAGAAAAAGATCAAGGAAAGCAAGGGGAACACAGAAAAAACTTGAGAAGAATCAGAAAAACACTATAAGAGCAAACAGACAAAATAAATGCAAATTTGGATACAATACAATACTTGCAGTTAGAAGTCCAGAAGATTAATTCTAAGATTTCAGAAATGGACAATACATTAATAGGACAAAGTAGTAGATTCAAAGCAATGGAAGCCTGAATCAGTGAGCTTGAAGATAAATCTCTGAATACTAGTATGCTAGAAGAACAATCATAAAAAAGATTGAAAAACTCCAGGTCTAAGAGTTATGTGGGACACCATGAAGAATAACTTACTGGTGATTAGAATTCCAGAACAGGAAGAGACAATTAAAAAAACAAAAACAGAAAATTGTCGGAGTTGTTGGAAGAAAAACAAGAGATGAGACGGTAAGAATACAAGAAGCTGAACAAACCCCAGTTATTGGCTCTTCTTGGGGACATGACTGTTTCTGGGTTGAAATTAGGCAAGGTTTGAGATTCCAGACTTCCTTATTTTTATGTCCAGCTTCACACAAACATTCCTGATTACTTGCAGTAAACTCTCTGTTTTTGCCACAATGGACCTAATACATCTGGGAAGCACAGTAGAGTTGTGTATGGGGCAGTGTGCATATAACCCGAAGCCATTAACATGTATGAAATATATGTTACATGATTCGAGCATTTAGTGGCCCTGTGGGTTAGTGTGCTGGACTGCAAGGTCAATTTCAATTGCAAGGTCGGTGGTTCAAGCTCACCAGTTGCTCCTTGGAAACCCCATGCAGGGCCGTTATGAGTCGGAACCTACTCAATGGCACTTAACAAGAAGCAGCTGTGAAACGCTTGAACCTGAAAAGCAACTTCTAATATTGTAAACAAACTGCTTTGTGTGATACGATATGGGGTAATCTTCAGTGAATCCCGGGATATTATGAGAACTGTGATTATGAACTTCAGACATGTTAGGCAGAAGGATTCACCATACTAATACCCCGAATTTGTGCTTTCCCCACAGAGCAAGGCAGAGGCAGAACGACTGTCAGGGACGCTCTGTGGCGGTTCTATCCGAGACTATGTCCCCAATCCCAGCTACAAAGGGACCAGCCGCTAAACGACTGACGATTGAAGATTTGGGCTTTAATTATTGGACTAACCTTGTTGCTGTTAAGTGCTGTGGAATCGGTTCTGATTCATAATGACCCTGTACAGGGTTTCCGAAGAGTGGCTGGTGAGTTTGAACCGCCCACCTTTCGGTCCAGTGCTCATCCTATAGCACCACACCAATTCTTAGTTGTGAATGAATGCCTTCTGGTTTTTGCAAGACATGGGTTTATGCAAAACATACCTGAGCACTTCTCTATGTATTTTTACAGAAGATCTTTACAAGACAGGCAGCTATGCATTCTTTAGGATGCAGGCGCGTCCTCTGAGAAATGACACAGCAAACGAAGTGGGAATTTTGGGGTGAGTTGGGGGGCATTGATCCTCGTGGGTTATAATTGTGAAGGAGCGATTGTCTCATGTGGGGCGAAGTCGGACGCGGCCAAGAACACCCTCTGGGGCCGGAGCCCAGAGTCACAACGAGGGAGAGGCAAGCCTTCGAAAGCTGTGGGAACTAGTGTGGGAAGCAGTTCCAAGAAGGGCCCAGCTCTCCGGCAGGTCCAGGTCAGGTAAGCAAGCCGTCTCAGAAACAGTCCAGAAAGCAGCCGGTCAGACTAGTCGCTGGGTCCGCTGGGAAGTGGCATCGGGAACGCCAGCCGCGCCCGAGGAGGATTCTGGGAGTTGTAGTTCAACCTCACAGTCGGGCTGGCGCGACTTGGCCCAGCTGGCTCTTAGATGCCATTGTCGCCTGGCCAGAGCTTCTTCCAAGTGGGGCGTGAGGTGGGGCCTGTGGTAAGAGGGGGGGGCTGAATGCGTGTCTTTCTAAGTCTGAGTGGTCGAAAGGAAGGCGGCGGGAGGCCTTCCGAGTGGGGGGCGCTGGGCTGCCAGGCGAGGGTCGCGAGCCGAGTTCCCCGCTTCTGTGGGCCCCTCCCGCCCCCGCGCGCGTTCCCCGTGTCCTTTTCCCCGCGACGGTCGTCTCCTGCGCGAGCCGGAGGAGGGAGTCACCACGGAGCCTTAGGGCAGGGGGAGAATTACTGAGGGCTGGAACTTGGGCGCACGCTGGAGAGAAAGAAAAGAAAGGCTGCCCTCTGGCTGGGTGGGCTCAGGATGGAGACTCCCACACCTTCCTGGGAGACAGCCCTCTCTCCGCAGCTGGTCTTTAGGTTGGGATGTTGAGGGAGAGCCCACCGCCTCTGTAGACTTGCAGGTCTTTAGGATGTTGGATTCCTCTTTTGCAGTCGCGATGCGTCTCTGTAGAATAGGCACTCAACGGAAAGGTCAGTCTGAACCGCGACATCGGCGGTTCAAGCTCACCAGCCGCTCCTTGGAAACCCTACACAGAGTCTATGAGTCGAAACCGACTCGACTGCACTCAACAACAATAATTCCTCTGGGTGGTGCAAACGGCTTGTGCTTGTCCACTAACCAAAAAGTTGGTGGTTCAGACCTACCCAGTGATGCCACATAAGAAAGCCAGGCGATCTGCTACCGTAAACATAGCCAAGTAAGTCACATGGAGCTCAGTTCTGTTCTGTAACACATGTGGTCATCATGAGACTAAATGGATTCCATGGCAGTGTTTTGTTTTTGAATACCACTCTTGTCCTCCAAAATCAACAGTTCTGACAAGTTACCTTTTTTCCTCACTGAAATCTCATGAGGCAATGTTGTTGTTGTTAAGTGCCGTCGAGTCGGGTCCGACCCATAGCGATCCTGTACAGGGTTTCCGAGGGTGTAAATCTTTACGGGAGTAGAAAGCCTCATCTTTCTCCCGCAATAGAAAGGGAAAATATTGATGAGGAAAGTAAGGATTCAAGAAGTCATGAGATTTGTTCAGAATCCTGTTGTTTTCCCTCCAGACATAGCTTTTCTGAAAAAGGCAGTTTTGTGTTTGAAAAGCGAGTTTTAAAAAATAATTTCATTCGTTTTCATTCAGGAGCTGCAGTGATACAATGATTGAGCACTCTGCTCCTAAGCCAGAGGTCAGTCGTTTGAACCCACTAGCAGCTCCTCGGGAGAAAAGAGCTGACGGTCTTCTCCAGGAAGGATTATATCCTTGGTAACCCTGTGGGGCAGTTCTACTCTGTCTTTAGGGTCACTATGAATTTGAAATAAGTGGACATCATACAACAGCAATTTTAGTTTATCCTGTGAGCCTGGAATAGAAAAGGAATACATCATAAAGTGAGGCACAGATTGATGCAGAGACTTTGAACATAATTTTGACTGTTGTTGAGCAGAGCAGAAATAGAAATATATATCCTTATATGTCCAGATTCTTACAGCAGAGTTCACTTGGAGTTTAAGAGCAGAGGAGGATAAGGAGGAACCTAAGGCAGAATGATCACTGTTTTCTTGGTTCTGGAATGTTGAGGATTACCCCTTGTTGAGGATTACCGCATGTTGAATCTTCTTTGGCAACAAGTAGCTGTGTATGGCAGTTTCTGATTTGACTGCCAAGCAAAAGTAAACTTCATGGCTCCTATCTACACGATTGCGATCACCATCTGAGGACTCAGACCTTCCTGTAGGCTTCCAGTTTCCAATACTAGAAACCCAAAAGAAAATGGCTTGACCAGTGGTTCCCAGGTGGGTTTCAATTTCCTCTTTTATCTCTCTCTTAAAAGTTAGAGTCTGGTTTCTTCTATTGTTATGGAATTGTGCAGCTGTGAAACCTGGAAGACGATTCATTTTGATAAATGAACGAAGACCTTCATGGGGAATGCGCCTGGCTTGCAGAACTTTCCCTCCTTTGATTTCCATTAAGTGCAGACTTGGTTTGAACCACAAGGTTAGCAGTTCAAGCTCACCAGCACTCTTTAGAAACCCTAAATAGGGTCACTATGGGTTGGGACCTACTCAATGGCACAAAAGCAACAAGTACTTTAATTGGCCTTTGATGAGTGCAAAGTAGTAAAGGCAGTTGCTCCTGCCTCATGAAGTTTTCTGAGGAGATAAGATATAGATACGATAGTAAAACAATTAAAAAAAAAAGATATATTAAAAAAGCATATAAGACGCACTTTTAAAAAACAATGCAGAAAGGACTGGCTCAGAGAAGCAATAAAGACGGATCCTCAGAAACTCTATACAGGATCACTATGAGTCAGAATTGACTCACTGGCAGTTAACAACAAAAACAGTATTGGGGAAAGGTTTGGGATCAAAGTTGCACTTTGAAAATCTAGAAAGAGTGGTTAGTTGAAGAGTAGCATAAAGTAATATTTCAAAAGGGAGAATACTTTAGCAAAAAAGTCTTCAAGTGATGGGAGAGTTGGAGGTCTTCAAGGGTGTGTGTGTGTGTGTGTAACTGGGGTAAGCTGGAATGTGATGAGGGAATCCTGAATATGTTGTTGCCAGGCCTCAGGAAAATCAATATTGGATCATACTTCAAAGGCCAATGAGACCCAGGAAGGCTATTAGGGGCTCAGCCAGATGAAACATACTGTATCTGATTGGCGAGAGAAGATTGAGCAAGAGGCTTGCTTCAGTAGAATCTGGCCTAGCACATGGAAGAAGGGAGACCCTGTGGTAAAGATGCTAGGGCCTGCTTGTCTAGTCAACACCTGGCCCCATAACAGCCAGGCTCTAATGAGCCAGGTAAAATGGTGGGATAAAAAATTGGTTCTAGTCTGTGAATTTGTGGATCCCTTTCAGAGGGAAGAGGGGAGGGAAAGTCAGTAGCATTTGCTTGGCAGTGTCTGATTGCTTTTCCTGTCTTACCTGGCACCTACACATTCCCACTGAGCAGCAGCTCTGGAAATGAATTGGATCTGGGTGACTTTCTCAGGGAACTATTGTTGTTAAGTGCCGTCGAGTTGGTTCTGACTCATAGCGACCTGTATAGGGTTTCCAAGAAGCAGCTGGAGAGTTTGAACTACTGACCTTCACAGTCCAATGCTGCTAATCCTACAGCACCAGACCGGGGACCTGTTTTCAATAATTTGGAGGAAACCACCAGTTAGTCTGTTATATTAGCATTGCTTATAAAGAAAGAAGACTCTACAAATTACATTATTTGTGTTGATAACTCCTGAGGCCTATGGTTTTAAGGGATAAATAAGCTGAAATCAAGAGGGTAGTGCTGTACTTCAATTATTAGAATACAGAGTTAAATTACTTTGGGTAGAGGATTTTCAAAGTAGGCAGCTTTTCTAAATTTCATCATATGCATTGTTTTACAGTTTTTGGAGGGCTATGTCGTAAGTCTGTAAGTCCTGGTGTGAATTAGCACTGGACTGCTAACCTCAAGATCGTCAGTTCAAACCCACCACCTATTCCTTGGAAACCCTATGCAGGGTCCCTGTAAATCAGAACTGATTCACTTAACAGTAACATGCCATAAATCTTATAATACTGAATTAAAATAGAATCAACCATCATGTTCATTATGTTCAGGGAACTATGCCAAAAGTGGTGGTTCAAAGAGGAATAAAACTGTTTAATTTGTTAGCAACCCAGAAGCTGGTCTGTTAACATGTGTCCGATTAAACTGTAGTTGTATAGAAATTTTTTTATAGAATTAGATAAAATATTAGACATGTGTTCTACCCACAGTAAACTGATTCAACCACATAGTCAAAGGAGCATTACTTAGCCTGTTTTCTTTTCCCACATTTTGGTAGAAAAACTAAACCTTGTGCTTGTCATCAAGATCTAGGTTAGGCTAAACACTCTTGCAATGTTTTCAATGTTTGTCAAACATCCGTTTCCCTCCCCACGTCTGTTCCCATGCACACTTTTATTGTTGTTGTTGTTAGGTGCCATTGAGTCGGAACCGACTCATAGCGACCCCATGCATTGCAGAACGAAACAATGTCTGATCCTGGGCCAACCTCACTACCGCTGCCACACTTGAGTCCATCAATGATGCCACCTGGCCAATCCATCTC